AGAAAATAATAATAATAATAATAATAATAATAATAATAATAATATATAAAGCAAATACATCTTCACTCCCTTCATTAGACTTCCACTTATTACTTTGATGTTCTGCTTTTGCTCCACAGCCTGGCAATCTTTGTAGTCGCAACCCGCTCTCTACTGCAAATTCTTGCAATATTCCTAAAGTCATAGTGGTGGTGCTGTTACACAATTCTTGTCCACATGAACTCTGATGAAATATGTTTTTCCTTTGCAGTGACTGAGATCATTTCCAAGCTATTACTAGAATTTTTCTGTTATTCAAAGAAGCGCTTCGATGTACTGTGTATAAATGAAAGAATTATATTTGATTTGCCTTGTACTTCTTTCTTTCATGAAAAAAATACTGTATTATTGTCAGACTCCAGGTGTACTAGTAGGAAGAATATAGGCTAAAGTGCCTAGACAATTTCTTCAAAAGTGTTGTCTATCACTACAAAAGTTGACAGTTCAGATTGATTTGATAATTGACATATGGAAATGTTAGATGGATTTTCTAGTTTTGCTGATGTGAAAAGACACTTTGCCAAAAGAACCATCAGGTATGCACTCTATTACTAGTCCACAAAGTCTATAGGGGTGCATATGCTTGTATATGCAGGTGAAAGAAATGAAAAACCAGCTTACATGGACGAACAGAGTCTATGTAACAGAGTCTTCCCATCTGCTTTCTTTTACCAATGCAAAGCTTGTCAAGAGAATGAGGATATGATACCTTTCCTGTCTCCTGTGTTGCCTTTGTTTGTGTCTCTGTTCATTTTGGTATTGCAAGGAGTGGGATGTGGTAATCCTATCAGCTCTTCTTGTGATGATTCAGATTCCAAGCTCACTGCTACAGAGGTACATGCAAATGGAAAGAGATAGAGATTCATATAAAATATGAATGCATATCTGTTTTTTTATAGCTCCAATTGGTGGCAAGATTGTTGGAATGCTTTTCCATGTCACGAAATCTCAACCTGTTGCACTGCTCATAGTATTGGCTGGTGGCTTCCATGTCAGGGATGTGATCAAACCAGTCTGAATCCCCCCCTCCCTGATTCTCAAGGAGCTGTCTAAGGTTTTGAATGCTAATCCCAAAATAGATTCAGCACCTTAGATAATTTCTTTGAAGGCTGGCATACACACAGCTGGCACTCCAGAATTCAGCATCTACAGATTCCATGGCTTGAAAACATTCTGCCCCTCAAACAAACAAACAAACAAACAAACAAACAAAACACACACACACACACAAAAACCCCAAAATGGCATCCCATTACATGTAATTTTATATAATGGGATGCCATTTTACTATGCCACTGTATATAATATGACTTGAGCATCCATGGATTTTGGTATCTATAGGAGGGTCCTGGCACCAAACCCCAAGCAGCCACTGTAATGGGATAGGTTTGTGGCAGCCCTGATTCTATCAGCTGTCAATGAATTTTTGAGAACTACAGCACACCATTATTTCAGAACATTTTGTGTGTTGTTGTTAGCTGCTCTCGAGTCAATCTTGAGTCATGGAGATCTGCTGAATGAGACATCATCTGTCCTCAGTCTCTCTGTTCAGGGCCTGCAGGCTGAGGCCTGTATCCTCCGTGAATGAGTCTATCCACCTAGCATCATTATTTTTTCTAATGATTCATTATTTCTCATCATGTGGCCAAAATACAAAAACCCAAATTTAATCATCTTGGCTTCCAGGGAAAAGTTCAGGCTTGATCTGTTCTAGATCTCATTTGTTAGTCTTCTTGGCCATACATTCTATTCTTAGCACTCTTCTCTAGCACCACATCTCAAATGAGTTGTCCAGCTCTCACATTAATACATGGTTATGGGAAATATAATGGCTTGGATGATCCTTAGTTTAGTATTCAGAGTTATGTCTTTACACTTTATGACAGGGGTAGGCAACCTTTCCCCTTTAAGGGCCGAGGGACTTCAGCTCCCAGAAGCCTCAGCCATGTTGGCCAATAGTCCCATGTTGGCCAATAGCTTCTGGGATTCTGGGAGCTGAAGTCCCTCAGCTCTTAAAGGGGAAAGGTTGCCTACCCCTGCTTTATGATCTTGTCTAGTTTTTTCACAGCAGCTCTTCCCAATCCTGGTCTTCTAATTTCTAAACTGCAATCTATTGTGATCAATATTTGAATTACGGTATGGGAACTCTTTAACTATTTCAATTTTCTCATTGTCTAGGATGAATTCTTATAGATCGTCCAAGACATTATTTTTGGGTTGGTTTTTTTATGTTCAGCATTAATCCAACCTTGGCGCTTTCCTCTTTGATCTTCTTCAGTAATTGCTCCAGGTCTTTGTTTGTTTCTGCTATAGTATTGTGTCATTTGCATATCTTAGGTTCTTAATGTTCTTCACCTGTCTTCACTTCTCCTGCCTCTCAGTCCAAGCTGACTCTGCACGATATTTTCTGCATATAGATTGAATAAACAATAATAGTATGCAAGTTTGCCTGACCCTTTTGCCAAGTGAGAGCCATTCTGTTTCTCTGTATTCTGTTTTGATGGCTGCCTCTTGTACTGAGTATAGGTTATGCATCAGGACAATCATATGTTGTGGCACTCCCATTCCTCTAAGTGCAACTGTGATCTATGCAAAGGCTTTGCTGCAGTCAATAAAGCACATGCAGATTTTCTTCTGGAATTCCCTGGTATGCACCATTATCCATGTTTGCAAAGCAATCCTTAGTGCTTCTTCCTATTCTGAATCCATGTTACACCCAGAAATTTCTTGCTCTGTATATGTTAGGCGTCTGCTGCAGAATTTTAAGCATGACTTTGCTTGCATGTGAAATTATTGTGATGGTCCTGTAATTACTGCAATCTTTTATGTGGGTGAGATAAATTTTGTTCTTTAACCTAGAGTGTTCTGGTAATTGAGGTAAGCCCTGAGTTTAGGATGTAAATTATCATGCCAAAGCATTAGTTAAGCACTTGGTTTGTAAAACATCTTGAAATTCTTCTCATAATCATCTCAAATTGACCCATGTTCAGCCTTGGAACCTCAGCACCAGAACATTAACAATCTTATACATACAGCGTTACCAGATTGGAGGTTTGGTGTGTTGGAATATGGATGGAATATGCAGTCAAAACTAGAAATGTACAAATGTGTGAAAATCTTTTCTGAGTAAAGTTTCTAAGCTGGGAAAGAGTCTTTAGCTTGCAGGTGCAGTTTCTGTAAACATACTTACACAGAACACAACAAGGTCACAGTGAGCCTGAGAACACAGGAAGCTAAAAGTAAACAATGAGACCATCTTGTTTCATGGGAACTAGAATCACATGATGTATGACACACAGCATGAAGGCTGGGCTAAAGCTG